AAGAATTAAACCATTAAAAGTTACTATAACCAAGCATTCTAGTTTTCATGTTGATAAGTGTGCTCAAAAGTAATATCTGTTATTTAAACAGAAATATATATATGCCCATCTGCCTACATAAATACATATATACACACACATTTGTTCACACGTATCCATAATAAAAAAGATGATTTATTCTCTATATATCATCTTGAAACAACATTCTATGTTCTAAAACTTTTAATAATGAACCTGACTTCATATTCTTTCTGTATAAAAACTAAAATTGACTAATTATATCACATCCACACACAAAAAGGATACGGTAGCAAAGTGCCACACTTTGCTGACATCTTTACCCATTGGTTCTGCAACAAATAGATAAAATATTATACATTTTCTATTTTACACATATACAAACAAGACAGAAAATTCCCCTATTTGTTTCATTCATTAGCATACCATTGTGGCAAAAGATCCATAAAAATTTCATCTCGTTGCTCATTAACTTTTAAAATGTATGTAAAACAGGATGGAACATCAAAACTTTAAAATAAACCAATCATATCTGAAGCAGAAAAATAAAAGACTTGGGCCTAAACAGTCACAAACAAAAACACATATTAAGATTATATAATGGGAAAAACAAAAACAAAATTGAAGCTCAAAGAAACCACAACAGGCTATCGCTAAATAAAACAGCAGAAAATCTACATTCAAGAACATGAGGTACTTTCTTAATCATTTTAGAATGGCATGTTTGTTGTATTTGAGAAATGTTACTGGAATCAAAATTTAAAGATATCCTACAAGAGCACTCACACAAGACTCATTATCACCAGAAGGTAGTGTGGCTTTAAAATTAAAGTTTGATTAGTTTTATTTAAAAAATATAAAACAACTTACAGTTACAACAGGCTTCTCAAAAAGTTCCTGTGCTTCACTAACATCAGGGCTGTCAGCATTGTCAGCAATGACATGGGTGACCATGTCAGACAAATAATTGATTAACTTTGCACCCCCATCAAGAAGCAACTTTTTTACCTAAAATTAGAGAAGTAATGCATTAATACAGCTTGTACCTTTTTAATGTCAATAAAAATAGTAATCAATGAATAAATGTGTTTAAACACAATACAATACAATTTAAGTCATAAATCTACAAACTGGCAAATAACGTCAAACTGAAAAACTGAATACTGGGCCAATTACACTGGCAAGAAATACAGAACAGAATGATGAACAAGCCACTCATCAAGATTATACCATAATCCATCCAGACAAGGTATTATTAAAAAAAATTAACAAAACCATAAAAGTGATCTAATTCTATTAATGGACGAACACATATTATCAGCCAAGTATTCTTTCCATTCATAAAAAAAATAAAATGTGTTTTTGAAACATTAATCCCAAATTTCACCATATTAATAGCAAACAGAATGTCTTGTCCTATGAAATTTAACTAAAACATTAATCCCAAATTTCACTAAAAGAATGAAGAATAAAATGTTTTGTCATGTGTAATGCAACTAAAATATGATTATTGAAGGCCGTACTTTTATTTAAAACCTTTATATAATACTACAGCTACAACTTGTAATAAAGACACTTTGAGATAGTGAAGTCGATAATGAGAAAAACTTCACATAACCAAGGTGGTTGCGAGATGTCATATGGAAAGTTTATACATGTTTTTCCTTTTAGTTTAATGTATTTCAGTTTAGAATGTCTACTTTAATTCAATTTATGTTCAGGTTTGCATTGTTGTTTATACAATCTTTCACATGCACATAACTTGAAACAAGCACAGATAAATCTTAATGAGAAACAACGGCACCACCAAGGCAACAAAGCACATTTGTTGCCTGTTTAAGAATACTGTTATTCTATCTTCAGCAAGTAGATCTAAAAGACACAAATAAGTTGAACTTAAGTAACAAATTTCACATTACTAGATCTACTAACTTCTTTAATAAAAATTCTGACACTAAAATACATGATAAATGTTTTGCTTTTCAGGTTAAAATCACATTTAAATTATATACGTTCACAAGGTAAAAAGTTAATTGTATATTAGTTGAGTAACTTTTAAAAGTTCCAAACTCCTCATTTATAATTTTAAACTTTGGAAATAATAATTATTTTCACAACAGAAATTAAAAGTTTATTCCATACCTAATGCTTTAGATGATACTAATTTTGTTGTAATTAAGGACAAAACTAATATTATACAACATAACGGCTATTAGCTCACAATCTACTTACTTTATCATGGTCTTCTATATCATCAACGATATAAAATTTAACATCCTTAAAAAGATCTGGTTTGATTTCCATATTATACATGATAATCTTTGAACATCAGCTTCAGTTTCTGCACACAAAAAAAAACAATCATAAAAAGAAGTTACTGAATATATTACTTCATCAAGTAATAAATTCTTACAATTTACTTTCCACACATGAAAACAATTAGTGGGGACTTCATGTGTTTTCCAAAGAACACTTACCAGTTTACCAGAATTTTATTATAGGTCTTCTTTAACATTGAAAAGATGAGCTATATAGTTTTGACCAAAGCCATATTTTTTAAGATATTGTTTTTGTGAACACATAAAAATATAGATACATGTTGATCACATTGGTGGGAAAAATATACGTTTTTATAGGTCATTTTCACACACACACACACTAAAAAAGATCATTTCCAAAATACAGGCTTTACTATGTTTTTATAGGTTTACTTGAATAATTCTTGTATATTCCAAGCCCTGAATTGTCAATAAACAGCAAGACCTTATAAATTAGAAACCTGGTTTGTCCTTCTAGAGCCAACAACCTAAAAAGCTATTAACCTGCACTGCAAGCTTACCAAGTGCAAAAAAAAGTGGAAACTAAACTTCACTATTTTAATGCAATTCAGAAAGTTTCAATATCAAAACTTAAAGATGGCATATTTTATTCAACAGATAGCAAAAGTTTTCATTAGACCTTGAAAATGTGATCAATACACTGTTACAACATAGATACCCGAAATGTCTGCCCAATCACAAGACAGTTTATTAAACACATCTGCCTCTTTTCTTCTCACCGAGAAAAAGAAAATATACTTCTAACATGTCTCAGTAAATTAATTAGTGTTTATTGAGGTACAGATTTTTTTCAGGAGGGAGAAAGGTAGAAAAAGGTTCATGCTTCAGTTAGGACTGTAATTGTTATGTATTCCAAATCTTCACTTTCAAAAAACACAGCTTTCTTATTCGAGACTCCTGTGTTAAATTGTAGCAATTACAATATCTCACCAAATGATTTGATAGAACCACAGCTTGTTTTCAGTGAAATAGAGTATTTTAGAGATCAAGGTTGGGCGTAAGAAAAGAAGTTTCTGTATTAGTTTGAAATAGAATGGTGGTACAAAATGAGTCAAATAGCCCCTTAGTAATGGAATGAAATTAATCTTGATGTCAGTTATTTCCTGAGAAACATATCTATACAACAAGTCTATCTTTACAAAATATAACTACCAACAATAATTTTTTTGTAGCTGCTGAAAGAACTCACCCATAACATGCTGTGTTTATCTATTAAAACTACAAAAATATTATATTGATTACCATATATATTGTGTAACATGATAATTAATTGAATTTGACTGTTGCACTCAGAGGTGTAACTATGGTTTCAAAAGTGGACAGTGTATCTAGGGGGTATGCATGAGGGCATTTCATTTTTAAAAAGGGCATTCCACCCTTAAAAAAGTTTGGGGGACTGTCACCCTCTTATGCCTATGGTTACATTTTCCATAAAGAGTAATTTTCATAACACTGGAAACGATTTAATTTTCATTAAATGAAATGTTGTAAGCTGAATTTGCGTTTTCAGATGTAACACATTTTTAAACTTAATAAGCATTTCAATAATAAATATGTGTGCATACATGGTTTAATAAATACATATATAAATAAAAGAAACACTATCAACAAAATATTTATGTCTGTAATGAGTTAACATCCCATTATAAAGTATGGTTTAATTTGTCAAAATACACAAAGGGACAAGATCCAAAGATACCGCTAAAACAAAAAAATTTAAGAAAAACCAGAAATCTCGCATGTTTTGTACTTTTCATTATAACTACCCAGTTACTGAAATAAAATATTCTATCATATTCATAAGAGTTTAATGTTCTTGTCACAATAAAACATATAATTTTTAACTCTGTTTATGATACTAGGAAAACATCAAGAATAAATCAAACCTAATAACCCAAGAACCTTTATAAAGTACATTTAGACCCTTCTTCATTCCCACAGAAGAAAGTTATATTATTACATCAGTCACCAGTTTCTAGAACCTTGATTCATTACTCTGTACTATTATTATTATTAACCCTTAAGTGCTCGCTAGTTCAAACCACTGCAAGGAGGGAAGAGTAAATTAGAAAAAAACTTCATAAACAAAACATTTAATTCTTCATTTCTTCCAATTAAATTCACCAAAGGAAACAAGGTGCTACTATAGCTTGCAAAGATATTTACACTAAATAATTTGTATCTATCCACATTTTTGTTCAGCAAATAATAATAATTTAATAAGTTGTGTTCCAAAAGAGTACCTTAAATTTAGGTTATAATTGTACTAGTTTTCATTGTTGTAATTTACTTCATTCTGATTATATTTGCCCCCAAAACTTTATGTAATGGTATTTTGTACTTTATCAGCTTAAAAGCATTATTTATGATAAATGGTGCCAACTGCAAATAAGCGAAAGTTAAAATGGTGATGATGATAGTATCTGTGTAGACAGCACTATGTAGTGTAAATATCTTTGTAGACCGCACACTATAGTAGCACCGGGAAAAATGTCAGACAACAAATTGGGAGCCATTATTACTCGGCTGAGATCCACATGGACCACACAAGAGTACTTAAGGGAATCAAAATGTGTTTCAAAAAATAAAAGCATTATTTGTTGAATTATGTGTCCATTTCTGGACAAAATTCTCACCATCAAGGAAAATACAAGACAGTGAAAACTTAAAATTTGAACTAATTGTCAGTGCATGTACTTTTTAAAAATTGTGTATTTTGTGATGCAATGCTATTTGGTAGTAAAAGTAAAAAAAACAAAAACAAATAGATGCAATTCATTATATTAATGACATTAAAATAACACAGAATCAAGTAAAAACTAAGTTGAACAACCTATATAACAGGGTGATTTGTGAAATCTATTTATTGATTGATCATCAGGCTCATTAATCAATTAGCTCCTGTTCTAATCTCTTTTCTTTGCATTTCATTAAATTTATCTTTTACATGATTTATCAAACATGATACTAAGACAATAACATTGCACTACTTAACATGTACAAGGTACTTCTATGGGAAGGAGAAATACGTGGTCAGTGTTTTGATCAAACAACGTTTAATGAGACTACTTAAGGTCACTTAGCCAAAACATTGACCACACACTTATTTTTATACTATACCAGTTTAATGTTTTTCTTGTTCTTTTACGGCTTTATGAAGCTGTAAATGCATTTGCTTTTATCCCTAAACAAGATATTTACTTCTTCCTTTTTTTTTTGGCTATCATTATGATACTTTTTGTTGTACACTGCTAGTAATATAAAAATTACAGATGTTGATTTTAATACCTTGTTAGTTTTCATCCTATTCTCTCTCTTTATTTTTTATATTTCACAAATAGTCCTGAATTCTATTATTACCAAATATGATTTGTTATTCTTTCTATTGTACTAAAAAATGGTTAAAGTGGCTATAGCTAATTTAATAAGCCTTCTTATAACTTTTTGTTATATATTTTTCATAAAAATGCTTTTCTTTTGAGAAAATATTTAAATTATTAACAATAATAATTAATATGGGTAAGTGTGTTTTATAATTATAAATAGTTTCAAGGTGAGTTTTTAATATGTAATGCAATTGCTTGAGTACAAAAACATAACTAGCTCATTACAAAAACTTGTAATTATTACAATTTACAGAACACCATGGTCTATATATTGTATAATAATAATAAATATCAATTATTATCATATGCATACAGTATAACAAACTGTCATTCGTAGATAGGCCTAAGTCATCTTTATACTCATTTGAAATCCTATCAACACATTTTCTCCGAGTATCATGAAAGTAAGATAAATTTAATTAAAGTTAACATAGTTTTGTTTTTGTACATTCATAACATATAACATTATAATATAATACTATAATAATAAAAAAGCTGTCCTATCTATTACTGTTAGTAATAATAGTAGCCCTCCTCTGAACTCTTTCCAACAATCCAATGTCCTTTTACTTTTTAAAACTGAACACAATACTCCAAATGTGGCTTAACCAATGACCTATATAATTAAATTATATAATATATTTAATTAAAGTTAACATAGTTTTGTTTTATACTTTCATAACATATAACATTATATAATATTAATAAAAGCTGTCCTATCTATTACTATTAATAGAAAAGTAGCCCTCCTCTGAACCCTTTCCAATAATCCAATGTCCTTTTACTTTTTAAGTTTACTAAGTTTTAAAGTCAACGGAGCCCAAGACTGAACACAATACTTCAAATACGGCTTAACCAATGACCAATATAATTAACCACTCGGTATTTCACGTTTTTAGTTTTACATGAGCCCAGAGTGAAAGTTGCACAACCTCTAAATATAACTAACACAATAACAGTAGTAATAATATCAGTAATGTGAGATCAGTTTACATATAGGCAATTTAGGCTTAGTACTACTACTAGTGCTAAACTACTACAAAAACTGATTCGGTACCGATAGCTTCTTGTTCGTGACAAATCCTACTAATGTTTGAAAAAAAAAATATGCAAGGGACATAGTTTAATCCAATTCTTTACTGTACATTATATAAAAAAAATACCTTGAACCAGCCAAAAAATTATCAAATATTTTAGCACTCACCCGGCAGACCCAACTACTACTCATAACCCGCTGAAAATATTTCCCGCGAAATTTACTTCAGCATTCAGTCTCGCAAAGTCTCGTTCTTTCTTGATATTATTATGTGCAACTTTTTATTGTTATTAGAATAACAATCTAATGTTGATATCCTTCAACGTAGTAGTACGTGTTTAAATTTCAGCTTGTAATGCTAGAAAGTTAAGATACATATACGAATAGAGTGGAATAATTTGCAGTTTTTTCTTTTAACTATATTGTTCATCAAAAGTAAGTTACTTAGCTGTTTCTAACAGCACTCTTTGGTTTAATTTATACCAATTGAAGAATAGAAAGTGTTTCCTAACTTTAAGTTAAATTTATGTCATACCTCTTGGTCTCACTCTTAACTTCACTTAAGCCTTAAGGATCAGGTTACAAACTTAGGCATACCAATTACATTTACACTTACAGTAACAAGTGCGTAATAATATATGTATGGATTGCGGACACCAGTTTTGCTACTTCTTTATTTTTACGTTGATTTCAGCTTGAAATGTTCAGAACATAAGAAAAGCAAGTTGATGGAAGGCCAATTGGACAATCCCTGAACCACGGAATTATGCGACCAGAATATCCAAATTAAATATAAACTTTTGCATCCATATAATTATAAGTTATAACTTTAAAAACAAAATCAAAGAACAGTTAAGTCTTCATCTAGGCTTCCATAACTTCAACTTATTACCCTTACGTTTGTGTTACTAACAAGTTAAAGCATACAACTCATGACAATGGTCCTACATTACAGATAACAATACTATTTAAACCAATAGTCAAAGCTTACTTACACACACAGCTCTTCTTTACTCCATAGAAAAGGAGAAAATGCTGGAGGAATAATAGCATTGACTATAGCCTAGGCTACTCATTGACAATAGTAAATGTGTGTGTAGTCCAGATTCAATCCTGAGACAATTGGATTCTGAAGCAATAATTTCATTCCCTTCTTCATTCATTAAGGAATGAGCTTGTGATAAAATGCAAGGTTTTGAAGGGAATATATTTCTTTTCTGTTATTTTGTTCAAACTAATAAAAATGTATCAAAGATTATGGTGTTGTAATTGCATTTACTAATACTCGGGTGGTCAGGCAGTTTTATATTTCTAACTGCATTGTCCTTAATTCTAAAAGCCAAATCTAAAACATTTAACTTTTTGAAGAAGAATCTTTTACCTTATCAATAGGTCGTTGTCCTTTCTTAAGCAAGCAGACCAAAAGTGTAAGCAGTATTCTAATTGAGGTCTGACTACTGATTTTTATATAGAGAAAATTACTTCTTTTTGACATGTAATCAAAATGTCTATAAATACACCCTACAATTCTATTAGCCATACTTATAGCAACAGGGCACTACTTCAGTGGCATGAGTGACTGTTCCACCAGTATGACAAGATCTTTTTCTTTAGTCACTCCATTGAGTTGGTTCTCATCTGTATTATACATATGGTCCAAATTATGATAAGTGCATTACATAGTACTTACCGTAATTAAAGGTCATTTCCCAAATATTGAATCGAGTTATTCTGAAATACCTCAACATCATCAATGCAACTAGAAATACCCAAGAGTTTAATGTCATTGGTGAACTTTACTGATTTATTAATTTTGCTTCTATCAGTAACGTTAATTCAAACAAGAAGAGCAAAGGCCCAAGCGCTAACTGTTAGAGGAATTCCATTTATAACAAGGGTACAATTTGACTGGACATTATAGATAACAACCTTTTACTTTCATCATCAAACACCCTACAAATACAATTAACTAGTCTTTCCCTAACCCCTACCAATGTGATTTTCTTAGCTAACTTTTTGTGTGGCAACTTATAAGAAGATTTTTTGAAAATGTAAGTAGCATCCAAGAAAACTGGTAGTGTAGCCCTTTAAAATGTTACTGTTAAGCCTAATGTTTAAGAACCAATTATATTAGTTTTTTTATCACTTGTTTGTTGTCACACTAAAGTAAATCATAAAACAGGTTAACTACATTGTTTTATTAAATAAATACAACCTAAAAACTAGTTTATTGTCTCTGTGTGTTTTAAGGATTAACTTGTTTACTTGAACTTAGATCCATTAGTTTAAATTCAACCTATAGTTATAGGTAGGTTATAAAATAGATCAGGCTAAATACATTGTATTATTAACATTACATATACATCAAAGACTAGTTATTGTCGCTTCTAATATAGTTCGATTTCTAAGTTTTAAATAATTAAAGATAAACGTTATTACTTTAGTGTGAAGACAAATTAGTGATAAAAAAAATTATATAATTGGTTCTTAAATGTTAGGCTTAACACTAACACTTGCAGGGGTATAACAAAAATTTACCACTCTCTATCCTGGGAATGTCTACAGAACATTTTGATAATATAGTCATCTTGATCTGTCATTCCAGCTTCTGAGTTAGATTAATTTCACTTTCTTAAATATCAAAAACAGGTAGTTAACCACCATTCTGATTGCAAACACAAAATTAAGTTTATATCATGTGATCTACTCTGATGTGAAGCAGTAAGCTTGTTAATTTTGTAATACCTACATGTTTGAGAAGAACTGAACTGTGACTGTATGAATTCTGACAGTATATTTTGTATGATATCTCTAGTTAATTATAATTATAATCTCGTATATATTTGAACTTTACTACAGAAGTTTTTTCAACAAACTGTAGAGTGTCTGTCAATTATAAAACATGAACATGTCCATAAACCAAATTTAGGGTGCATAAAGAAAAACAATTAATGGAAATTTGCATTACTAAACAACTCTACATGCTTTGAAAATTGTCGTAAATAAATTGTTTACGTAATGATAACCAAAAATTGTCACTGCACTATATGCAAACAAAGTTTAGGTGTAGATATGTAATATAAATTTCTGGATTTTGTAAGGGATATTGTGCTTGCTTCCTGTAAAAACGTTATCCTCCCAGTGGTGGGATGGTATGAAGATACTAAACACAAGTTTTGAAGAAACGATCATTTTTGTTGTAGCTTTTTTGGTAAACCAAAAATTTCCATTACCAAGTTTGCAATTATAAATGTTAGGTGTTGCCTTCTCGTGTGTAATGTGACATTTTTGTGTCTAATTCATACATCCTTGCTTTCTGTATTGGTCCATTACTATTTATTTTTATAAATAAATAACTGTAAATCTAAAGTAACATATTACTTTATTCAACTTTTATCTTCTTTGTAGATTATCTTTAAGCTGTCATGCGCATCAAGACTGAGAGAAATCAGCACACTCCACCATCTAGAAGTATTAGCAAGGAATATGACAGCATTGAAATGGATAGGGTAATTACCCAGCAGCATGGTTAACAATTCATATTAATTACTTTCATGAAAAGTTCTAAGTATTTTATTTTGAAAATTTTGGAAAAATTTATAAGCAAAATTAATGTGTAAGTTTTCCAAAAAAAAAACTCTACTACTAACAATTACCTGGACATTTAAAATTTTCAATACAGGTTACAGAGTTGAACAATAATTAGTGTTAAAAAGTTATTAATTAATTCTTACCCTAAAAGTCTGATTTGTAAATTACTTAACAATCCTTGATAATAATTATAATCCACCTGTTTCACACAACAATAGTTGTTGTTCGTGAAAATTTATATGTCTATGTCTGTTAAAACCTAGTCAGCCTGATGAGCCCTGTTATTGGGTGAAAGGCTTCATTGATACTGGATATTGTAGATGTAGTTTGATTGACAAATTTTACTTTGCTTTTACTCATGGGCTCTAAGAATTAATAATATAGTTGCGATTGATAGTAAAGTTAATTCAAATAAATAAATAAGAGTAATAAAAAGTTAACTAATGTTGAGAATTAAAATATAAATAATTTGTGTTGTTCATTTTTACCCTAAATGTCTGATTTCCAAATTTCTTAAATAAAATTAATAACATAGCATCTAGACCGTTTCTATGACGTGTTTGTTTAATCTTATCCAGCCTAATGAGCCCTGCTAGTTCACTGGATATGACACATGCTTTCAATCTTGGGTTCTTGTAATTGTACGTGTGTGCAAAGTTTCATATTCATATAGACAAGAAAAAACAATTACTTTGTTTTGCAGCAGTTTTAAACAAAAAAGGTAATGTATGTTGTATTGACAATATTCTTGTTTCAGTAGTATTCTTAATAAAGGTAAAACTTTAATAACTTTTATAAAGCATTATAGAAAATTTGTGTAGTTTTTTATTATTATTGAAATTAAGAGTTCTCTGCACACAAAGATCATTATTAACATTTTTAATGACTGACGGACATTAAAGGTAATGTTGATCAGATTGTTGAGAAAATAAACTGTTTATTGTGAAGCTGTGACTTGATTTGCTTCTTTTGCTTTTCAGCTATGGCGGCCTGTTTTTGAAAAGGTAAGTTGCTTTATAAACAAGGAATAAACTTGGTAAATAGTTGCCTAATTAAGTTATCTTTTTCAGTAGTTATTATAGAGAACAATTATAACAGCCTAATGTAAGACCTTTGGAATTTCAACTTCCAACCTGAAATACACATTATGTACATATGAACTTAATGGTAGACCCTATGATTTAGGCACAGCCATACAAAATTTTAAACTGTTGACCAAAATGAAGGTCACCAGCCAACAGCACGTGTCATCAGAAATGCTTTATCCAGTTCTCGTTCACTCTGATAATATGTCTACAGCTGAAAGTCTTGAACCTCAGACTCTTCAATCCACAGTCCAAAACATTAACCACTATGCAACACCCAGTGCACAAGACTCTTATTACTTCTTATGTGTTAGATATGAGTTCACTCTGATAATATGTCTACAGCTGAAAGTCTTGAACCTCAGACTCTTCAATCCACAGTCCAAAACATTAACCATTATGCAACACCCAGTGCACAAGACTCTTATTACTTCTTATGTGTTAGATATGAGTTCACTCTGATAATATGTCTACAGCTGAAAGTCTTGAACCTCAGACTCTTCAATCCACAGTCCAAAACAATAACCATTATGCAATACCCAGTGCACAAGACTCTTATTACTTCTTATGTGTTAGATATGAGCCATTGATAAGATGTATAAAAATGTAACACAAGATGAGTCCTTCACAACACAAGATGAGTCCTTCTCAAGCATTTAACCATGTAGTTCACAAGATGAGTCCTTCACAAGCATTTAACCATGTAGTTCACAAGATGAGTCCTTCACAAGCATTTAACCATGTAGTTCACAAGATGAGTCCTTCTCAAGCATTTAACCATGTTGTTTATATGTCCAATTTTCAAAATTATTGGTTGAAATATATGTGCATGCTGATTTAAGAATTTATTCAATAAAATTCAAAAGTATGGGATTTTACTGCAGGTATTTTAAAACCAAAAAATCCATATTGTAGTTCACTTTTGTTTTATATTGTGAAGTACGAAGTTAGTATTATTTCTTCCTTCTAATGCAGGCATCTGTTGGCATATAATAATTAATGTATATTGTCATTACACACGCATAACTTCTATTAATAATAACTTACAAGTTTCCTACTTATCTTCAGTGCAATCGTCTTGTCTAAACTTAAACTACAGTATATGATGCAACTCAACAGTCACATGATGTTGGATGTAC